GAGAGAGAGAGAGAGAGAGAGAGAGAGAGAGAGAGAGAGAGGTCTCCGGTCCCCGTCCATCATGCACCCGTCGGTGACGTAAGATATCACCCCCCCCCGCAACCGATCATCAAACCTCGATTTCCACGATATGTGTAAGTCAAACGATACGTTTTCGGAAAGATCTCGACGAGATGGTTCCGACGCCGCCTTTTTCGGCACCACCACTGTTGCTGCTGTGGAGCGGTCGAGCTTTGAGAATTGGTGCAAGGGGTGTGAAATCTTGTATCACCGTTAACCCTTTTGGGTCAACAGGCGTCCTGACAGATCGTTGATTGATCATTTGTAAATGATGGTGTTGTGGCATGCCATGGAGTTGCCGCCCTGTATCCCTCCACGCCAGGTGTTGGCAAGTCAATTGGTAGGTATGTCTTTTTTACTCGCATCGACCGCGCTACCCCGAAAAGACGTCAGTGCCAGCGGGAAATATCAAGGTTCTTGGAACCGTCAAAATTAGAATAATGCACACTGCTCTAAATGCGAATACCACCATGAATCTCTCCCCATATCCTTTCAGAGACACATCAATAGCTCCACGTACATGCCCTCGCCCGAATCTAGGAAGCCACTAAAGCAAAGACAGCAGGACAACAACAAGGGGCACTTCAAGCCCAAACAGGCCAGGATATCGTGGTAAGCTGAATATCCTCCAAATTCGAAATCGTACACTCCCAAGATCCAGCACAGTCATCATGTCAGCGGCTTTTCTACACAGCAGCAGCCGTATAGTCTAGACGAGTCAACTAAACAGCAGAGTAGGTAGTGACACATACACTATCAGCATAGCCCCACACATACCCTCGCCCGAACCTAGAGAGCCACTGATGCAAAGGTAGGTGTGTGCTGGTGTGTGCTTGCGTGCTTGTGGGAATTGTGGGAAAATCACAGGAGCTGTACAACAGTAGTGAGCCGGCAGGGCTCACATTTGGGAGGGGACAGAGAAGTACAGAGGTACAAGAACCAGCTATGGGTCTACAAGCCCCCTTACTGATCATTTTCACTCATCATTTGAATATACTCAAATAGATTCGTTCAGGCAGCTTGACGACTGATCATTTCGAGGTCTACAAGCCTAAACTGCGCTACTGGCCGCACCGCGACCACGCATCAACCCTTCTATGATCCTGTCTGTGTCCACCGTCCTGTCGCGGGCAACCCTCATGGCCTATGGGTGGAGATAGCTGTTGCGTCTACAGAAGTACACTCGTCTTGTCTGCTGTACTTCTGTCTCTCCCGCACTCTCTCCTCCAAAAAAGAGGTAGACCCAAAGGGGTCTCTGCGGCGGGTTCGCACATCTTCGTTGCTTCTCTGATGCCATCTGCTGTCATACTGCATACTTCATGAAATACCTGGCATCTCAGCTGCCAAGGAGTACCCCAGGTCGCTGGATAGATTGTGGAAGCGTGTGCGTCCACGGACGTGTGCTGTTCGCTTAGCTTTGGGGGCGCGTAGCTCTGTAGGACTATCTCAATGACCGATAGATAGGCGGGGATGTAATGCTTCTGTCCCCGGGTGTTGCACGGTGAATTTACGGTTCTCCACCGGCAAAGGGGCGACGGCCGAGGGTGGAGGATGGAGCAGAGAAGGTATGGAAGAAACACAGATGCGTGAGTGAGGCTGACAGCCCTAAAGAAAGCAGGGATGCACCATTTCAAGAGTACAAGTGGCAGGCCGCATGCTCGTTGCTTGCTGCTTGCCGATTCTGAAGTGTCCGCCACGTACAGCCGTCCCGAAGAGACCACGTATGCATACATGCGTAGACGGGCACGAGGGGCACCAAGCAAGGTACACAGAATGTAGGTAAATGGAGACTGGAGATAGTGTATACCTCCAAGGAACGACAATGGGTAGCCGCCGTGCTGGAGTGCCGAACATCGGCAGCGGTTGTTTTCAAGCCCGCCACTGTTGAGCAGCAATATGAGCAAGAACTTTAGAACCACAGCAGTACAGGACAGAAGTGCGTACCCGAATCTCACCGCATGTGCCTCCCCGCCCACTTAACTTATTTACTAATCTCCGCCATCCTTTTTCCTGGTCCTCAGCGATTCTGCGTGTATTGTGTATTGGGGTACTAAATCATCCCTACACCACACGCAGGCTAAATCATCAAATCAAATGCGCACCACAGGGGTATGCTAGATGGAGGTTGTCACGGCATGGTGGACGCCGGTGCTTTAGCATGAATTGAATCCTTATCGTGATAACATAGGGTGGTGGCGAGATAAGAGCCTGGCTACTGGATGCCGCAATCCGCGGAGATTGGTAGCGTTGGTTTATCAAGCGGTCCTCCGAAGGGCTGCCTTGATAGAGCAAAAACGCCAAAATTTGTTTGGGAAGTCGTCTTACCAACGCGAATCTGGCAGACGGTCAGGACTCCGGCGTAGTTACTAAGGTCACCATCCCTCTAACACATCACCACGACTTCAAAGAGTTTTTTCGGGCGACCTGCGAGGGAAACGCCCTCAGCATATCTACTTTCCTGTCGACTTGTCAACGGACACCTACCTTTTCCGTCTCGCTTTCTAGAACGGATTAAATCGGCGAGTCGCTGATAGGAAGGGTCAGCAGCGTACTTCGGCGCCAAGCTCCCAAAAAGAGATCGGTCCAAAGAACATCTGCTTTCATGTCGCCGTATCAATTAACACCCACCTTTCCCACCTCACTTTCTAGAGCGGATCAAATCAGCGAGTCGACTGAAGGGAATGGTCAGCAGCGGAGTTCGGCGCCACGTGCTCTAATGAGAGATCGCCAGCTACGACGGATGTGAGTCATGGGTAACAAACCAAAATTAGGGTTTCTTGATCAAATTCAACATCTTACGAAGAAAACACGAGGAGGGTACTTTCCAGACAATACGGGAAGGAACACTCAGAACACATGATACATTTACGGGATACGCCTGTACTTGCCAGTTTTCGTTCCTCCCGTGCGTCTCTTCAAAGCTCGGTTGCTGTGGCATGATCAGCGGCACATGCACCCACAGTGACAGGGAGCCAAAGCGCGGAGGAAAAATTCTCTCAATGTCACTCGTCTGAAGCAGCCCCAGCGCTGTCGAGGCCCTGAAGACGTTCGCTTGTAATCTCTGGAAATTCAACGCTGCAAGTGACGATCGTCGAACCGGTAACTGTTTTGTCGGCCAGGAGTGCGCTGGCATTGGTTGACGAGTGTGTGCTCCATCCAGTGCCCGCCCCACGGCCGCCATCCCACGCCGGGAGCCCTCCTCCTTCGATTTCTATCTCGCCGTTGTGGCTGATCATCTGTTCAATTGTGGCAAAAGTAGGCGAAGGCGTATCATGGCCTTGTTTGTTGGGTTGCGTTTATATGTACTGCTTTAACTACGTGACAACGCACCGCAACAGGCCCACGCAAAGATCCAAGGCAGAAGACTACAGTAGTATCTCTGTGTGGTCAACTTTGTAAGGAACCTTTCGCCTTCCACTCCTGCCCGTCGTTTCCTTGCGACGGAAACCCG